AATAGCTAAGGCTGAAGAATATGCAAAAAAGTGTGGTGAGGAGTGTCTTGGTAAAACTGGTCAAATAAATGATTTTGATGTATATCTTTGGTCATGTGAAAATGGAAAGCATCAGTGGTATGCACCATATAAGATCCAGAAGCATAAATTTGAATGATACCCCCTATGTCCCCATTTTAAAGGGGAGCGATCTGTGAGATATATTTTTGAGGATTTGTTAGGTAAGAAATTCCCATCTTGTAAACTATCATTTTTGAATAGGATGTAATTGGACAGATATAATGAAGAACTAAAATTAGCATGGGAATATAATGGAGTTCAGCATTTTTATCACAATAGTTTATATCACAAAAATCAAGGTGACTTAGATAGTTAACAGACGTGTAATCAAAAAAAGTGGAATATATGTAAGGAGCAAGGTATAAATCTCATTGAAATTCCTTACTCCACTGATTTATATGAATTTATTCGAAATATTTTAATTGAGAAAGATTATTTACAGAATAAAAATTAAATCTGTAAGTGCTCATCTTAGATGTGAATAAAGGTAAAACTCTAAATACTTATCTCGTTCGATTAATATTTTTTAGAAATAATAATTAGTGACTTATCCAATCAGAATGAAAATAGAAAAGCTCAACCTTATTGAAAGAATGGTTTTGAATATTGACGAATACAAAAATATAGAGAGATTTAATAGCCTTAATAGTACCTCTCAATAGCCTTTTAACTTATTAGTCAGCAGGCAAACCAGATCAGGAAAAACTAACGAAGTTATCAATCTTTTACTTGGAAATAAAATATATTGATTATTTAATGGAAAAAAAGGCAGAATGAGATATATTAAGAATGATGATTTGGTTTTAATCAGTCATCAAATTAATGAGCCCAAGTATAAACATCTTCAAGATTACTATAAAATAATTGCAAATAGTCTCAAATCATATTGTGAAGATATTACATTCCAAGCAATAAAACCTGATAAAATGCTAAAAGTTGATGATTTCTCCTCTGAAAGAGAGACAGTAGCTGTATTTGAAGATGTATGTACAGAATCTAAAAAAATACAAGATAAAATAGCATGTTATTTTACTGAGAGAAAGCATAAAAATATCAGTTCAATATATGTGACACAAAGCTTTTTTGACTATCCTAAACTAATAAGAAAAAATCTCAATTATATTGTTCTCTTTAATAGCAGTGGGACATATGATGAACTTATTAACATTGTTCAATGATATACAAAAAAATGGCACGATGTTGTCAATATACTTGATAAAAATTTGCAAGATAGGGAATTTATTATTATTGACTTGACTAGAGTGAAAGAGGATCTGCTCTATATTCACAAAGGATGAGACCAACCTCTTGATCTTTCTAATAAGTAGGCACGAAGAGTCATTATTCCACAATAAAGTGAGATTTCAGAGATGCAATAAATTTTTTATCTTTTGTACAAACTGTGCTTATATAAAGAATTAAATATGAGTCACCCTCTTATTCTTCCGGAGTTACTTGAAAATATATTCAGTTTCTTGGCTAAGGATAAAGCACTCTATCCAGCATTATTTGTCAATAGACTTTGGTATAACTGTAGTACTTTGATTCTATGGAGACATATTGAGTTTTTTATAGAAGATTATCAGCAGAACTGATGTAATAAAAATATATTTGGACCTCTTTATTGATAATTAAGAAAGTTTAAAAGAGTTATATACAAAAAGACAAAACCTCTCTATTGCTCAAAGATAATGTATCTCAAATTGGTGGATTTAAAAATCTTGGATGTATTATTTCGTGAAATTTTATACTCATGCCCAAATATAAACTTTCTTATTCTTGATTGAAGTTATGATTTTAGTAATATACCAATTATAGAAATTGCAAAATATTGTCCAAAGCTACTATATCTGAGTCTTGATGTATGTAAAACTATTACTGATAGATGCATTAGTGAAATAACACAATCTTATCCAAATTTAAAATATATAAGTCTCGCTTCTTTGTATAGAGATAGTAACATCTCCAGTGTATCTGTGATTAAAATAGCATGATCTTGTTCCCATCTAGTATATTTAAATCTCAATGGACAACCTTCTATTAATGATGAATCAATTTATGCAATTGCATGCTCATGTATAAATCTTTAACACCTGAATTTGTCATTCAATGAAATAATTACAGATGAAGCTATATGTGCAATTGCAACTGGCTGTCCAGATATGTGAAATTATTTTCTCGAAGGCTGTAAATGGATAACTGATAAATCAATCAAAAAAATTACTCAGTTAAATCGAAACTTGCAAAAGCTTATTCTCACTTCCTATTACAAAATTATAGATTATGCTGTATGTAATGTAATCCGTTTATGTTCAAACATTCAGAATCTTAGTTTTCAATATATTTATATCACTGATAAATCAATATATGAAATTGCATATCACTGTTCAAATTTATTAGTTCTCAATACAAAGAAATGCCCATTTATTTCTGATGAATCAATCTACTATCTATTAAGCAAAAAACCAGCACTAGAGCTAATATTAGATTAGGTTTTGTAATTAACCTCTTGAAATTTCTAATAAGTACGTAATTTCAGATATTTAAGGAATTTTTCCATCTCTCGTAATTCTATCTTTTTCTCTTCAACCTCATCTCATAATTTTTTATTGGCTTTGACCTGATCCTTATGTTCCATAGTCATTTCTCGTATAAATTTGCCAAAGGTTTTTTTATTATATTTCAATAATCGCTGACATAAAATATCTAATTCTTTCTTAATCCAGTGATTGATTTCCTCCTCACATTCGAAGCAAGAACACTTACATGTCTGATCACATATACAAGTTGGATCAATATCTTGGGTTTTAGATTCTTGGTTAGCCATATTTATATTATATGATAAATTTTCAAGTGGATATGTACTTCAGCGCTAGCATTTTTTCTTTCTAGTATAAACTATAATTTCATGTTGTAAAAAATCTTTAATATCTGGATTTATACTGTATGCTTCCAATTCTGTCAAAGGATTTCACTTTCTCATAGTTAAGCATCTCCATGCTTCTTTCACTAATGAGGGAGGTAGTTGCTGTATCAGATCTGTATATGCTTGATTGAATTTTATTTGTATATATTTGGTAAAAATTCTGTTGAATTCTATAGAATTCTGAAAAAAAAATAAAGTGAAAAATATTACCAGCCTCTTGAGGATAATGAAATAAAGTTTATTTTAAATAGATATATTAATTGAATAAATAGATATGTGTATTTATATTTCTAATTGTTGGAGACAGTTACTAAATCTATATCACAATTGTTTCTTTTTATGATTTATCTAATCATATAGAATAATATATTCCTGATACATATACATACTAATTTCAAATTCAGCTTTATATGAATATCTATTATATTTTTTTATATACTCAGCATATTTCTTATTAAGACATGTTTTTAATTGATCTAGAGGATTCAGATTTTTTATTTTTTGCGGAGTTATGCCTAAAAACTTTTTATCATCTGGAGTATTATCATTTGGTAAGCTATTCTATGCAAGTCATGCATTTGATAGCTCTTTTTCTTAGAATTAGTAAAATGCTCTTTGTATAATTCTTGCATATCCATCTCAAGATTTAGATTTATCATACTCATGATCCCAATATTTCTACATCAAATCATCTGGCTCGATAATTTCGATATATCTTTTTCTGGTAAAATAGAATAATTTCTTTGGTTTTACATTATCAATATGTATAAGTTTCATACAATCTAAACATATTACTACATTAGATTTATGGATTCTAGACCTGTAGTAATCATGATTCATTAGCTTAGAATTTCCAAATCTACCAAATAAACAGTATACGTGATATATGCTTTTTTTCTTTTCAGAGACTAGCTCTTGTAAAGGAACTCTAACCCAAATAGTCCATTATTGTGAAGTTTCATCAGATCGAATAACTGATAAAGTATCATATTATCTTTCAGTCTCATAAAGATCATCAAAGTATCATTGATAATCACTAATTTCATAATAATTATAGATATATGACTTTACATATTTCATATCATATCCAGGATGATTATTAATGAGCTTAATTGATTTAGCTTTTTTATCGATAATAGTTGTAATAATAAGACCTGATATAATTGATAATTTATATCGAATTTAGGGATTTGGACTTATTAGATTTGATTCTTTATAGTATAAGAATATATGATTCATTTTTAGTATGGATCTTGAAGAGCCCCTATAGAGCCTGGGGTTACTAGATGAGTTGTATATATTTGTCATATTTGCAAGTGATCTATATGATGAGAATAAGATCCATATGAATCTAAAGATTTGTCCCTTTGGACCTGCTTTGCAATAAGAATTTATTTTGTGGTGATATTCATATATGAATCACTCGTATATTATAGATATATTGTGTATATATAATATGATCTTATTTTTGATACTTGAAATTCATTTCAGCTATATTTGGGATGATCATTGCATGATCTATTTTAGGGGGAACGTTAAAGTGAAGTAGTGCTCAGCCACAGATTGGGAAGTTACGCCACTTATGCATGCATAAGATTTGTGACATGTAATCACATGTATGTAGATTAAATTATATGTTTCTACATGTTAGTACATGTACAAGAAAACAAAGTTTATTGTGTTGTTTTGATATGATAATAGTCTTTGGGAATTTGAGTTTTCTTCTTTGTTAGCTTTAGATTAGGCAGATTTGCTATGAAGTCTGGTACATGAGACTTCATTATTAATTAACACGTATATTTGGGTCAAATGCAGTGTTCAGCCTGGTCTTTAAACTAACTTAAAATGATGTTTATCAGCTATTAATTTATCTGCATTGGCATTGTACTGGTAATAATAGTCATTTTTGCAATACTAATATCATTTTATTTATTGAAGTTCACCATTTGAACTCTCTGGAATTTAAGTTTTGTTGTTAATGCTTGCAAGTCATCTTTTGTAATATTCATTATTATCATCCTTCACTGCATCTATCCTTATTATTTCTACTATTGCGTCTACCATCACCATCTTCACCATAACTATCATTCACTGTGTCCACCATCACCATCTTCACCATAACCATCAGTATTTCAATGAGTACTCTCTCTTCAGATAAAAAAAGAACTCTTCTTTTTAATGTAAAAGATATATTTAAAGTTCCAGATGAGGAATTTGATAATAACTGGTAGCCCCTGATTTTGAATATATGGACTCAATATAATTCATGCAAGCTTGTTAATGATGATTCTTGAAAGATTTTTGCTTGTCGTTTAACAAAACACTGAGACTCGAGCATATGACAAGAGGAAATTCTAATCGAAAAGCGCAGGAAGACAATAACTCGATCATATGGACTTTGCCACGCAAAAATTAAAATTACACAGTTATTTTCTTTGAAGATGGTTAGGATTGAACATCATAATAATTCTCCAAATCATACACATACTATAAAAGATAATAATATTATCAAATGTTCGGAGGCTATTCATACTCTGATTAAATAAAAAGTAATAAAAAACTATCCATCTATAGTAATTGTAAGTGTCATCAAAGAATATGCAACTAATGAACTAGATCTTGGCAATAACGTCCAAGACTTGAAATAGAGGGAGGTTACAAATATCAGGTATAAGCTTCATGAATCTATACAGGCACAACTTGTTGGTAGTGTAAATTTAAATGCAGATATCCTGGAAGCTGTATTCTTTTTAAATGAGCAAGAATACTATGTCAAATATTATAATGTCACCAAACGGTCCACCAAAGACATTGTTTTCACGTATCCTAAGCAATTCAAAAAACTTCAATATCACAGGTGGTTAACTTTAATTGATTCCACCCATAAAACAAATAAATATGACTGGCACCTCTTTACCTTGTACGTTCATGATTAATACAGATGTTGGAATGTAGGTTCTCACTTTTTTGTAAGTAATGAAGATAGTGAAACTATCATTAATGCATTAAAAATAATCCAAAAAAAATGTTTCTGCTGGACACCTCAGTATGTCCTTATGGATCAGAGTGCTACCGAAGCTAATAGTATCAAGCAAGTGTTTCCTGATTTCCATGATGATGAGTAGAGATGGGAGCTGCAACTAGCCGTAACTCTGTCACAATTCTCTGATTGACTGCTGCAACTCTGTCGCAATTCTCTGATTGGCTGCCGCAAGCTGCAATTAGTTGAGAAGCCATCTTTAGTGGTGAGCAAGAATACAATATAATTCTTTGCACTATTCATATTATGCGGACATGGATAATAAAGATTTATGATACAAAGGCTTGAGAAACTATGATACTAGCTATGCATAAGAAAATAAAAATTAGTTGTGAGCAGCTTATTCAAGAAGTCATCCGTCTTTGTTCAGTTTCCGCTATTTGTCATTATATTAAAAAAAATTACACGTATAACAATCATCAATGGGTCCTCAACACTCTCCGTTACTCCTACAAGTTACCTCTACAAATGCGCTTGAATCCTATCACAGTGAATTGAAATAAACAACATCTCACATACATGGATTGATTAGTAAGTTGAAGATTTTGACTAATTTTTTTTTAATTTATCATCCAATAAAATTTAAGCTGTTGTTGTTTCTACTAATAGATTTTTCAAACCTTCAATCTTATTTGCATGGATTGATTGGTAAGTTGAAGGTTTCGATTAATATTCTTTTTATTTTTTTAGTTTTATTTTTTTTTAATTATTATATTTTTTTATTTTATTAATTAGCTTTTTTTTATTCATCATATATATTAATTAGTTTTTTCTAGGTGCTTCCCATAAAATTATTGACCTTGATCATAAAAAGCAAGCCAATTCAGAAAGTGCCACCTACAACTTTAATACCAAAAAAATATCTGCCTATGGCATTGAGGATGAAATAATCAAGAAAATACATAAATTTCCATTCCCTATACAACAAATGCTAATCAAAGAGGCTTGTGCAGTAATGGATAGACTTGCAAAGGGTAAGGGTATGCCAGGACTTCTCTCACTCGATTGTGATTATTTGTTTCGAAATCATTATATACTACCATGTAAGCATATCTTCCATGAGTATATATTTGGCATCATTAAGCTTTTGAATACCAATGCTTGGAGGATGTTTCAAGAATTATTTGAGAAAAGTGATCTCGAAGTATATCAATATCGTGAATTGGTAATGGTGGAGCTGCCTAAACTAACCACAGAAGAAAGAAAAATGGAAAATCAGTAACTTGTATTAAACGAATTAACTGAAAGATTGCGTAGTAGATATTGGGAAGCTGAGAAGAGAGATTCTGGGCAAGCTGAGATGTTTATTTCTAAACTAAAGGATTCTTTGAATCTAATTATTAGTGAGCATGATACACTTTAATTTTTTGTTTAATATTATTATACTTTAAATTCTTTGTGATTAATGTTTATTTTATACTTAATATTTTTATTTTTAAAGACAATTTAGAATCAATAATTGATGTACTAATGTTTACGTCAAAGAACTATTGTTATATTATATCATTTTCATTTATTATTGTAATCTAATAATAGAATAGAATTTCTTAAAAATAATAATAAAAAGATTCATTAAATAATAAGTAACCCACATTATTTCTTTATGTATATGAAACTCAAAAATCAAACATTGGTTAATATAGCATAGCGGACTTTCTCTGTGATTGGCTATTGTTTTGCAGATCATTTCAAGAGTGGCGTAGCATTTCGTCCAATCAGAGACAGCGTA